TTAAACAAAAAAAAAAAAAACAATCCCTAGCTTTAAGTCATCCTCCATCTCCGCTACACCTCCGGCGATTGAAAACTCAACACCACGGTTTTTATCGTGAGTTTTTTGTTTCATCGCGAAACATTCTCCTCCCTCCCGCCCACTCCTGCCTTTGGCCTCGGCCTAGGGGAGTCTGGCTCCTCTCTCCTCTCCCACCCGGAGGTATTGACTTCGGTCTACTGTCCCAGGGTCCTCTCTCTCCCTGGGGGTTGGTCGGTCGGAGGCCCTCCTTGGCTGGCTGGCAGGTGGTGGGATCCCATCCACTATAGTGATGCTATCTTTCCCAGAACAAGGGATTACATGAGAGATGCGGTAAAACACCTGCCATGCTGGCCTAGGCGGCCGTTGATGATCTTCCTTACTCCCCCTTCCTCCTCCCCCCACACGTGGTGGGGAGTCCTATCCTCCTCCTGAGTTGGCCTCGCTTAGCCTTCTCACGGTCGGCAACCCCTTAACCACCATCGTCAGACGGCCGGGACTACAGTCGCAGTAGGAGAGAACAGCCAACAGGCTATGGTCGATCTCCCCATTCTCTTGTTTCCCTAAGAGGCTGCCTAGTTAGACACGAACTCGATTCCGATAGACGTTGTTTAAGGTCTTTGGGTCTACTCCTCCGCTCTCCTCTCCCTACGGTCGGATCGGCTGGCACCCTACTGCTACACCTTCCCCTCCCCCCGGTTATCGCCCACAGCCGGCTGGTCTCCTCCTTCCCTCCATGGTATTGCACTGTCTCCTTGGAGTGGGTCTGGGGGGGGCCCCCTATCTTAGCGCGCTTCGGGCGTCGCTTCCTGCTTGAATGAGTGGATTTGCCCTTCGGGGCCTACGTGGCTTGCTACTAACCTTTCTTTTGTCTTTTCGGGATTTCTCAGCGGGTTTTCCTGGCCCTTCCTGCTTTCTTCTTAGTTAGGATTTCCTTGTTCGTCCATCTAGCCGGGCTTGGGTTTCTTTTCTTTGAGGCGAGATGTGCGGTTGGCTCCATACCAGAGGGGCTTGGGGGGTTGGCTTTTTCCTGTGGCGAGAGGAGGGATGTGGGTTTTTTGTCATCATAGCTAGCGCTCCATACGTTTTTTGTACCCTAAACAAATAATCAATGAGTCAAACAAAAAAACAAAAATCCCTAGCTTTAAGTCTACCATCAGCGACCGGAGAAGAGATTTTATCAATATATTCGTTCTGCTTTACTTCTATCTTTACGAGCCTTCTTGACTATCTCTGAGACAGAAGATTACAGGGCCTAGTGTATACTCGCTTGACTTTAGAGTTACCTACCCCCTAACAGGTGTGGTATAAGTACTGAGCAACCATTAGCAGAGAAGAGCATACTTGTGTTGGTTGGAGTAAACTGATGGAGAAGCTTCTAGTATAATTCTAACTGCTTAAAGATTATATAAGAACTCTCCTACTCCAATATAATCAACATCCTCTTAAGACCTTAATTGAGTAAAGCTTTAACTTAACCATATTAAGTTTTACTGTTTACTTTATTCTTTTACATTTACAGGAGCTGTATCTGCAAAGTTTCAAGTTTCAAGTTGATATAGTCAAATCCTTAGAACCCATCTTCTTAGAAGAGCTCCTGTTATGCATATATTCTGTGAGCAGGTTCTAGTCAGATGAACAGCAATAATGTATATGGTGCTGTTAAGTCAGGCTTTGTTTTTACAATCTGATACTGCTGGGATGTAACTGCAACTATGACACTACTGTAATGCTAGAGGTATATATACTGGGACTGGAGAAAGGTGTTGACTGTACTTTTGATGTTTGTAGAGGTCTGTACCTTTATATATATAACATACAGAAAGTTCATTATGGATTTGGATTGATATATGTTTTACTTATGGTTTTGAGTATCTCTTGACACTCTAGTTGTTTTTCTTATAGGTTTGAGTATCTTTTAATTCTCTAGATATTTGTTTATTATTTGAAGCATAATTTGATACAGGGAATACTCAGGACTATGGCTATGCAGGACATGAATAGAACTATGTATTTAAAGACTGCTGATTTGCACAATGGAAATCTCAGACTTTGACTGACAGTATTTCTAATATACTTGGTTGAATGGCTGCTTCTCTAAGTTACTACTATTGCATCCTTTCAGAGACTCATTTAGCATAGCAGTTCTTGTAAGTTGCAGATCAACTTGTATACTGCTCCTATTGTACCCAAGGCATGATGAGCATCCCCAAGTGAACATACTACACCTCTCTTTCAGCAGTGCATGACTCTACTAGGTGTCATTCCTAGCATTGCTACTGCAGTAGTAAGACTTAGTGCTGTTCCCATGGTGGCCATCTCCGAGTCGATTGCCATCTATTCTCGTACCCTGGAGGAGACTTCAGTCTACTCAGGCATTTTTGAAGTAATTCACATCAACAGATAAAAAGGTATATTCACATTATGATTCATGATGAACGATAAACAACACTTGGCTTGGCAACTATCACAAATGCCAAGCTTTGCCGCGCCTCGCTGCGGGTGCCGCCTCGCTGACCCCTCACAGGGTCTACAAGTACCGTACCGTTCCCACTACTGGCCGTAAGCTACGAGTATATCTATCTAGTCCTCAAAACCCATAGCCTAGACTAGGGCTATCCTCCAATATACGAAGCAGCTCCAAGTTTCTCGCTTAACAATTAACCCCGATACCTCGCGGCCATGTTTCCTCCCGGTCGCGGTAACGACACTCCATGCGCGGGTCGCAAATTTGTGATCAGCCTGTTCGGCACGAGCGAGGTACTCACAGCAGAAGCAGAAGCCGTATGCCTTAGAGAATATGACGAGGGACATAGGAGCCAAATCTGGGTCTGCGAAAGGAACGCATGCAACTACTTTGGCCTGCGGAATGTAGCGAGCGGGCTTTACCTGGGACGGAGGGATACACATGATCGGATTGTGTGTTGCGGGGTCGGGCTCCATGGTTGGGAGGAACTTGCTTTCACGCGGCTTAGCGACGGCGGGTATTCATTGATGGTGAGGAAGCTGGCCAAGGAAAAGCTATTCCCTGTTTACCCCACCGACGCCGGCAGTTTCCGTTTCAGTACCAGTAGGGAGGAAGGAAGTAGTGACACCCACTTCGGCCTGCACCAGCTCAAGAACCCAGTGTTCAGACGGTTCGAGTGGGTGGTCCTGAACCGTCTCGCACGCTCATCCGCGCCATATTATGATGGGGAGGATTCCGATGAGAGTATTAACGAAACCTCAATCAAATTCCTTGTCAAACACGGCATACAGAACATCATCAGCTTGAACTCTGTTGAGATATCGCCACGCGAGAAGGGCAGGCTTCGCGCCGCCAAGATCTCGTATTCGCACATCCAGACTCAGCAATGTTCCTCTCCCACTCAGGAGCAATTTGACCGGATCTGGAATGCCTTCGACAAGGCAGGGGTCACAATCGTTTATTGCGGATATGGAGATGGGAGGACCGGAACAGCTATCAGTGCGATCCAGCTCTTCCAGGGCCGTACCCTGAGCGACATGGATTACAGGGCGAACGGCGTGCAGTGCACCAGCCAGCTAGAGGCATTAAGTGCATTAAGGGAAAGAATTCATGGGCGAGTATCTCTTCGAGAACAGTTTCTGCCTTTCCCAACGCTGATGGCTAGATAGTGTCGATAATGATAGCGACCCTCTCGACCCCCCCGACAATCAACCCCCGCCATATACGGCACCTAAAAAAGACAAGTGATAAAACACATGACGACGGGATTATGCGAGGATGGTGAAGTGAAGGGGAATGCGTATTTTCTCTGTAAGGGATTCGCGGGAGAGGGTGTGGAGTCCGGCGGTGTTCGGGAGAGCAAGTGGGATGAGCACGAGAGGGCTGAGAAAAGAGTTTTTTGTCCACGTCAGTTGTATGGAAAACCGGGATTCAAGATGGAGAGCCGATTCAACCTCTAGGCCAGTAAATTGTCCCGTGAGGGTTCAGGAATGCCCAAGCGAAAAATGGTAAGACCAAGATCCTGGGTGACTCCACGCACGCGTGACGGGGATACCACGTACGGTACTGTACAGTACGGGTATGATACGGGTACTCGTACAGTAGGAGTAGTATGGTGTTACCTAGTTTGGCGTGCAGGAGGCCTCGATTTCTTCTGGGTGGAAAGGCCGACGCTTCACACATGGGTCCACTCGACCGTGGGGAGGTTGAAGAACAAGCCGGGGGCCCACTAGGAGTGATGCTCACTTTGCGGGCCACTCGTGCAACTTATAGTCTACATCACCGCCTGTACGGTCCTTTGTATCGTATAATACGCTAGCCCCGTGCTCACATGGAATTGTGAGACATCCCATCCTCCATATGACAGATAGCCTTGCTCACTAGGCCTCTTTCGCCCCCGCCGGGGCTGAACATGGGGGCTCGTTTTAGCTTAGCCGGTTGCAGCGAGATGTGGAGTTTCTGGGAGTCAAGCTCCATTTTCACCGGAAACGGCATCTTAGAAATAGCTGTTCCATTTGGTGGTCAAATATTCGATTTTCTAAAGGTCCCATTTCATCGTCAAAAATGCTATATAGAGAAAAGGAGGTTCTGAGCAGAATTCTTTGAACTCTCCGCTAGGGTTCTAATAACCACGCACCTCACAGCATCTAGAACTACTGTGAAAAAAAAAACCCCCCGATATGCTGTATATTTCTTTTATCTGATACTGTACTTCATTTCTTACCCCAAAACTGCTATTCCATTTCGGCCGCCAGACTATTGAAGGGGCAGCCTAAAGGATTTGGGAGAGGAGCTTTCCTGGACATCTGCCTTGGCCGGTAGCGTTCTGCACTCTTGCCGAGCCTTCTACAATGATGAGGCAGTACCAAGGGGGCAGAATGGCGAAACGAGCCTGGGCTGAGTGATATTTCAGATGCTGGGATAAGATGCGTAGATACCACTGGCATAGGGGGGGGGTTGGTTTTGTTCGGTCTGTTCCTTGTACCCCCTGTTTGTTGCTCCTCCATATCTAGGTAGATTGGGGAAATGTTAAACATTTTCTTTCTTTCTTTCTCTCTTTTCCTTCCTTGCTCTTGTCAGTGGAATATAACTGAAAGTCAAGTGCAGAGGTTGAAATAAATCTTGCGGAGATTTCTAGAAACCTATCTCTGCTGATCAAATGTCAAAGTCAAAAGATTTTTACCAGTAAGAGCACATAGTTATCCCGGAAGTGCGTAACCGGTACTGTACCGGTCTTGGGCTATGTTTACTAGTATGTTTTATCTGATGTATTACTTGATGCTTCATCAGTTTTTTTTGTTTGAAATATAGTTTTTTTTACTTAGAGTTGTTTGTAAAAATGCTCATGATGAGCAGAATTTATGTATTTAAAGACTACTGATTTTCACAATAGAACAGCAGGCTTCAACTGACAGTATTTCTAATATACTTGATTGAATGGTTACTTATTTAAGGCACTTACCCTTTTGAAAACTCCCTTAATTGAGTGGCTCTAACTATTTGTACATCAACTAGCCACCAGCCACTCTCATGGTTGTACCTAGGACGTGGGTAGCATCTCAGTGTGGCCATGTTACAGAGTATGATAGGTTAAGATATTTTTTAAGATTGTTTTTTTGATTTTTTAAAAATTTTCTTTTCACATCATATATAATTTCAGAGGTTTGGTACTGCTACATGAACCCAAGTTCAGTATTAGTTATAGACCTCCAGACCTCTCTATCTGCTCTATGGTAAGTAACAGTAGATTAACCATTTCTGTACATGCCAAGTTTGTATAAAACAGTGAGGTAAGCTCAATTTTTGTATGGAGATCAGGAGGTCTGTAACTTGAGCAGTATCGATAGAATCCCAATTAACTCTAATACTTTTAGCTACACACAGTTTTCCCAATGGGCCAGGTGTGCCAGGCCTATAACCTCTCTAGATCCTTGGCTTTCGTTTAGATAATCTTTCATTCTATTATACCAAGCTGTTCCAAATTACTCCGTGAGCATTGTAAGTTGTACAGCGCCTACGAAAATTCCACACGTTGGTGTCAGCATACCAGAAGAAGTACCGGTAAGCTCACTGATAGTACTAGGTACTAAAACTAAGTGGGGTATCGACCGGGGTTTCATAATTGCGCCACCAGAGGTATATAGTCACCAGCGCTACAACACAGGTATCTCAACCCAACGCGGGATATGATCAAACAACAGCGACTCCAATGGTAATAAAATAAGGAGTTGGGAGAAACTGGCCTCAATCACCGCCATTAATCTCTCATTCAGACAGACTCTGAGCTTAACCATTAAAGAGATCAGGGCCCAATGGTTCCCAACAATGTTCAACAGCATTCGATAACTTATCCTAAGTAGAGTTGAGATACATGTATTTCAAACGCGGGAGACCGTACCTATGGTCGCGCGATTACGATCCCCGTCGATAGCGATGTGGGTTTGTTAGTTGTTGACGAACATCCCCGAGGTTGTAATAGGGGATGGGTAAGCCAGAGCGGGCATCATTCACTGGTGGATTTGATAGAATTCCTGCAGAAGAAGAAACCGAACCTGAGCGAAGGATTGTAGGATAGGGCTGTGTTGGTGAACCCGGAGGTGGATTTCCTGGACTTTTTTTTGAGTTCTGTTGTGAATTGCTCATTGCGTGGTTGCATCAACCAACAACCTCCTGTATCGGGGATACATTCTACAGGTTTCATATTGAGAAGGGCGATATTATTTGCCGGGTATTTAGAAAAGTTGGACTGTCAATTCCAGTGGATAGAACTTGTGATTCTGAATTAAATATCAAGAGGTTTTCTGGATTACAGATTGGAAATTGGCGTGAGGATTTTGAGGCAGTTTACAAGGCAGCTGCTATTTCTGAGGTTTACCATAATAATTCGAGTATTGAATTTGTAGGTAACTCGGAGGTTGAACCCCTGTAGTTGAATATTGTGTGCAGTCGCAATTGTAATAATCGACTCAGCACAGCCAGTAATCTGAGAAATCCACATCAGAGCTGCCAGCAAGGAGAACAGCAAGTGGGGAAAACATAGTTCCGAAGTCTTTCCAAGTAGGTTGAAGATCTAAGACATGCCATTTTCATCATTGTTGATCATGGGGCCAAAATGGTTAGACGGGGTCCAGACTAACTGGTTTCAGCCTTAGTTGCAGATCGCGGAGATAGCGAATTCCAAGAGTTTTTACGGTATCACACTTTCATCTCCTTTCAATATTTGGTTTATTGGTGACACATTCGCTATCCAAAGAGTATTGGAACCACCCTAGGAAAAGGATCAGTGAATGCGAAGAGAAAAAAAGTAAGAAACCCCACAAAAGGGGTCTTCCGTCCCTTTATTTGACAACGACGGTTGCTAGAATATAAAAGACTTAGCTTGTTGTAACAGGAACCAATTGAAAAAAGAAAAAAAAAGACCATAAGAAAACCCAATTAAAGAAATGCCAACCCTCGTATCGCCGTTAGGATGTTTTTCCCCTTTGCATTTTTTTAACAGCTCAAAGTTTGTCATAGTAGTTCTCAATGCCGGGAACCTGTTCACGAAAAAGTTAGCTTACACTCCTAATTTGAATGTTTTACAGGCAGCTGTTCTTACCTCGGGTTTGATACCCTTGCGTTTACGCATCCCCTGGACAATCTGACCCGGCTTGGTGGTGGCGTCAAGAGGCGAACCACCTGGAAGGACTGCCCAATGGTCAAATACTGACTGGGGGAAAGCTTGCCCACCGGTGTGCGAACGGAGATCGGCGGTGAAACCGAAGGACTCGTTGACAGGCAAATAGGCCTTGACGTTGAATAGAGGAGTACCGGGGCGCTGCTCCTCAGAGAAAACGTGACCTCTTCTTCGGGTCAGGACACCATAGATACCACCCATAGCCTGCTCAGGAACTTGGATCTCAACAAGGTAAATGGGCTCCAAAAGGCCGGGCTGAGCGAGCAGCGTAGCGGCGTACAAGACACGACGAGCAGTCGGGATGATCTGTCCACCGCCACGGTGAATAGCATCAGCGTGCAGAGTGACATCGAGCACGTTGAAACGGACACTTCGCATAGGCTCTTCGGCAATGGGGCCCTCACGGGTAGCCCACTGAAACCCAGAAACGACGGAATCCTTGATTTCATTGAGGTACTGTACGGCCTTGGTCATGTCAACGAGCAAGTTGGCACCATTGGTGTCAGGACCGAAACACCAAATCTTACGGGCATCGGTGACATCCCATCCGTGCTCGTCAGCAAGAACTCTTGCACGGGCCTTAAAGTCGTCACGGGGGCCAATTTTCCCGGCCTCAATATCCTTAGCAACATCCTCGCTAAGTGGGGCGGCAGAGACGTAGAGACGGTTGTGTTTGTTGGGCGACTTTGACAAGGCCGTCATACTCGAAGTGTCGGCAACAGTCTCACGGTATGAGACGACAGGAGGAGAAATCTTCAATGGGATACCTGCATGATCTTCCTCTAGATCCTTCAAACAAATCTCCAAATGCAATTCGCCAGCACCGGCAACGATGTGCTCACCGGACTCCGAGATGAAAGTCAAGACACAAGGGTCAGACTTGGAGAGGCGCTTAAGTCCTTCAACCAACTTGGGTAGATCGTTGGCGTTCTTGACTTCGACGGCGACCTGGACAACAGGAGATACGGAAAACTTCATAACCTTCAGGTTGTGGGCGGTGTCAGAAGTGGTAAGGGTACCAGACTTGAGCAAGAACTGATCAACACCAACCAAGCCGACAATGTTACCGGCTGGGACGTCCTCAATAGGCTCGATATAGCGACCCATCATGAGAATTGTGCGTTGAATGGCCTTGATGTACAGGTCCTCCTTACGACCGGGGGTGTAGTTAGGGCCTTGAATGCGGACCTTAAGACCGGACTTGACAGTACCGGCGAAAACACGACCGAAGGCGTAGAAACGGCCCTTGTCGGAGGTCGGTACCATCTTGGAAACGTACAGCATGAGAGGAGCTTTAGGGTCACAATCCCGAATACCAATGCAGGCCTCATCGTCAGAAGGACCTTCGTACAGAGTCTCAGCGCGATATTTCTGGGCGGTAACGGGAGAAGGCAAATGCATGACAATCATCTCCATGAGAGCATCAGCGGCAGGCAAGAACTTTCTCATCACAACCTTGAGGAGAGCCTTTCCTTCGAGATCCTTCTCTTCGGACTTGAGGGTGATTTCGAGCTTCTCCAGTAGAACCGGGATCTCGTCCTTCTTGAAGTTCATGACAGCCGCGAAAATTTTGAAAATGGGGTCAAGGATAAACTGGTTGAAGGCACGTTCCAAAGGCTTGCCCTCGTACATCTCAGTCTTGGTCCATTTCTTGGTCTTAGCGTTGAAGAAGTTGTCACCCTGGATGCCAAATTAGCATTACGGAATAGTTTTAATGGGGCAATAGTCGAACATACCCACAGACGCTCCATCATCTTGCCTTTGTCAACACCAAATTTCTTGGCATAACGCCCGGCGAACTGGCGGACAGTGAACGCCCAACCGTGGAGACCGGAACCGAAAGCAACAGTTCCCTTGTAAGGGTAAACCTGAACATCACCAAGGGCCTTGTCAAAGTATGTGGCGACAATGACGTTCACGGATTCTATTGTCCGGGAGAACGACTGGTACAAGTCTTCCTTTGATACCTGCAGCTCCAAAAGGGCACGATCGACCTTGTTGATAATGCAGACGGGTTTGATACGCTCGGAAAGAGCTTGACGCAATACAGTCTCCGTCTGCACACAAACACCTTCAACACAATCGACGACAACGAGGGCACCATCAGTGACACGGAGTGCAGCCGTAACTTCAGAAGAGAAATCGACGTGACCGGGGGAATCAATCAAGTTGATCAAAAAGTTGCTTCCCTCAGTTTTCTGGGTAATGTCCTTGCAGTCCTCTTCCGAGAGCTCGGCATATAGAGAGATAGCAGTTGACTTAATGGTAATACAACGGTCCTGCTCGTCCTGACGAGTGTCCGTAAACCGCTGCTCGCCGGCCTTCGCGGCGGAAATAATGCCCGCCCGCTGGACGAGGGAGTCGGTCAGGGTAGATTTTCCGTGGTCCACTATATCATCATTAGATTCCACACACTTTTTCCTTTAACTTTAGGGAGCAATTTCGCACCGTGGGCAATGACGGACATGTTACGGACGTTTGTAACATGGTCCATCAACTCACGGATCTAGCGAGTGGAAGTTAGCATTCTGTGCATTGATCCCTGATAACGCTGATTCTGAATTAGGATGAGTTGACATACCTGTTCGACGGTGAAGCTGAAAAAAAAAAATCACAGAATATTAGTCAAAAATTATCACGTCCCATTGGGAGCCGGATGCCAAAGGAAACTTACTTGACCATTTTGTCAGTTTTTTTAGAAAGGCGAGTAACAAACTTTTGTGTAGGGAGTTAAGAAAAGCTCTCGCAAGGGAAGACTTAGGCAGAGCAAGTCGTCCGATCGAGCGGATGGTTGATGGATAGAAGTGTGTAGAACAAGGGATGGGAAGAGATGGGGGGGGTGCAAAAAAGTGAGGGGTTGTAGACGGTTTGTACGGTGAGGGGTCAGACTTGTTTTAAATGAGTGGTGGGGCGGTTGTGATTGGCTACGATATAGTGTCTAAAAATTGGTAGGGCGGTCTTGGCATCCTGACAAATCCACACTTCCTAACTTCTCTCGTCTCAGTCAAGAGCCCTCGCACGAAGAGTGACTGCTGTTTTGGAGCCCTTCTTTTACAAGCATCATACCTTTGGTACACCGATATCGTACGGGTTGATACATATCATCTCATACCAGTACTAAACCGATGGGCTATATTTTTTCATACTTTACATCAGGGGAGGTGAGTCACCTAAACGATAAAACCGGGTCGGATCATTCCACTCGAACCAAGCTCGCTTTAGACAAGCCGAGCAGATGAGAGTGAAAATTGCTGGGGGGAAGGGAACTTGTTCTGTATTTGTGCCATGGCGGCACCAGATCCGGGGGGCAACATACCGAGAGCGCAAAATCCTACGGGTAGGAACGAAGTATACAAAAAGGCCACTGATGACTTTGGCCCTGGTTTCTCAAGATCATGGTACTACCATACACTATTGTACCGGTAGGAGTGCGACGCACTCACACCACATATCAGTCAAAAAAAGAGGCCAAAGCTAACCAGCTAACATAGACAATTACACACCGGTATGACTCTTTAAGTAGCGTCGAGAAAGGTGAGTGAATATTGCGGAGTTCTTTTGGGGCTAATTCCGTGCATCCTAAGACAGCAATTCTTGGTATCACCTTACTCATCTCTACCTCCCTCCCATTCGACATTCCACATGCAAGTGAGCGGGTACCCACTCATAGTGTGCAAGGGTAGCTGGCGATAACAGGTTTGCAGTGCACTGAGCCAATAGACATGGCGTGGATGAGGTTAACCCAAAGAAAGGACTACCCGTGCCAAGGTTAACAATTAGCAAAGCCAACAGAAATCCATGGTTCCTACTAAAATAATTTTCTCTTTATTCTCGTTATCATGGAACCTTTCTGTAATTCAGGGTTACTAGTACGAAACCCTTTGCCATTCAAGATCGACGATCGGGGCGACTAAGCGCATACGGCCCTGATGCAGGATATAGGATGGCGATCGCGAATCATATCATAGACAAACCCTCGACTCTTTCACATGCAGCATGAAAATCGATGGAGTATCATACGGTTTAGTAAGATACCGCTGAGTATTCTAGAGCACGTGCCCAGAACGAACCCCCGAGCCTACCCGCTTCGGTAGCTTAACCACGGCAATACTGTAAAAGGGTGCGATACGCAAGATTCACATATTATCACTCGTAGCACCGTGCCCCATTCGGAATTACGGATGGGAAGTGGACGGCTGGGTGGAGAGCTAACCAAGCCATGACACACGATGACACAAAAGATGTAGAGTCTAAAAAGAGAGTGGTTAGTTGTTAGAGTCAATAGATGGCTGACTGAAGTGACGGGATAACCCCGCCGACAGAATAGAAAAACTCCCAAACGCATGGTGTCGGTACCATGCTCACACTCCCCCTTTACAAGCTCGAGTGAGGATGGTGGTATCTAGACCTGCCCGTCCGTTATTCAATTGGAGCGCTAACACTACCCCTATACTCGTGCCCATTAAAAAACTACTAGCTGTTGCTTTTTTTTCTTTTTCCCCAAGGGACCGAACGACAAAACTTGATCGAAAGGTATGTGACCCGATAGGCGCGGGGGCAAATGCTACTCGCTACCTTTCAGGGAATTGATGGCTCGGCCCTCAGGTATTGCCAAGTATGAGGTGGGCAGCATTATCCCTCAAAGGTAGATATATATATATATACATCTGGTAAGCATGCACGTCACTTCCGAAATGCAAGTGCCTGGAACTTTGAACCATACCCAGACCCGAACAAATATGCACAGTGGCCCCGAGAGCTCGCTAGATTAAGCTCCAATAATACCTGTATCATATATCCACACGGCCCCACTGTCTCCTGCCAAGTGGATTTAATCCCACGTGCTAACTACGACCGGGCATACAATAGCCAAGGCCTAGGTAATTACCGGAATTCTCAGCTTAAGAGCTTTCCTTGCAGACCCTCGACGTTTCTGACTCCCATATTAAAGTAAGCTACAGGCACCTAGTCGAATATGAACAAAGTAATAAGTAATGGACTATTACCATTCCGTCACCCTCCAGTTTTCCTTCAGATCTGCCGGCACCCTTCCTCTTGCTCCTGGGACAAGTCTCCCACAAGGACATTCTACTCTTCAATCAAAACTACCACTGCTCTCCCGCTGCTCTGGGAATGGGCCCGGAACCCTCCCTCTATACCACGCGAACTTCAGCTGAACAGTGATACGCGGGGGAGGAGTGGCGCCACCCCGAAGATGCGGCCCCTGGATGGGGCCGCATGGGCCACCATACATGTCGGTAGTGGTAGAATAAAGTATGTTCCACAACTCTCCAACCAAAACTGAAAGACTCTCAAAATAATTCGCACTCTCATTGCGATCATCTAACATCCCACTTTGGCCCCCATTATGCATACTGCTGACTATAAGCACAGTAGGTGCCGGTGCCACTCAACGTATTTGAACCAAGTCAAGAAAAAAATTTGGCATCCCACCCGCTGATCCCGAGGTCCGAGTGACGGTATGATTGTCTAGATAGCGGCTCTCTTTTCGGAGAGAAACTCCGGAAATGGGCTTAGGGAAGGTCACGGCTGAGGCGTCGAATTGCTGCCGAGATCGCAGCTGGTCCCATAACCCTGGACTCCCGTGGAGGTACTATTCATTGGTGTTTTAAAGGGATGGCCTGGGTTTCCCTTTCTAGAATACAAAAATCGCCCAGCCTACCCGTGCGATGAGAAGCCCCCACCCAGAATGTACCAAAGGTAGAACCTAACAGTTCGATTGGAGATGGTGATGAGCTCATTTATCGGGGGACTTGGGTAGAGTGCAATTTGGAAAGTGTAATGATATTTGATCACCACAAAAATCCTATAAGGGAGAGAGCTTGGGGACAAATAGTCTAGCGTTTCCCATAACATCCCCCGATGCTATATAGCCACACAAATCAGAAGCGTGACGAGTGATACTGTCTGACGCCTATTAAACTGCGCACGAATCGGCCAACTACATGCCCACGCCGGGTAACAAGCCCCCAGCGCGGGGTATCCCAAGTTGGCCCACACACTCCAGCAGGGCGGCACTCCCACTCATCTAGAACTAATCATCAACCGTCTAATACACCACAAACACCATCAAACCGACAAACAGAAAAGACCCAGGACCGCGCCAATGTCCGCAGACAGAGAAGACTCAGTCCAAGTCCTAATCCTCGGCGCGGGCTGGACCTCCACATTCCTAATCCCCCTCCTAGACGACAACAAAATTACGCACGCCGCCACGACCCGCAAGGGCAGCGACGACTCCATCCCCTTCAAATTCGACCCCGAATCCGACGACCCGGCCCCGTTCCTGCCCCTGCCATCCGCAAAGACCGTGCTGATCACCTTCCCCATCAAGGGCACCGGCGGGTCGAAGCTCCTCGTGACGCTCTACATGCGCACTCACCAGCACGTAAAGACCAACTTCATACAGCTAGGGACTACGGGGATCTGGCCGGACAAGGGCCTTCACGACCGCTTCACAATCCCGTTCCCCGACAATCCGAGGAAGATTGCCGAGGACGAGCTGCTATCTCTCGGTGGGACAGTGCTGAATCTCGCTGGACTGTGGGGCGGCAGTCGCCATCCGAGGAACTGGGTTGGCCGCGTTGCGCCAGATAAGGAGGAGCTCGCGGGGAAGGGCTCGCTTCATTTGATTCACGGCTGGGACGTTGCGAGGGCCATTATCGTGGTTCATGAATCTTTCACTCCTGGAGAGAGATGGCTGATTACCGACCTGAGAATTTACGATTGGTGGGACCTCGCGAGCGCTTGGGATGAGGGTGGCTTGCTGGCTGTGCCGAAGCTGAAGACGGCGGAGGGGAAGCAGGCGGAGTGGGTTCAGGAACTCATGGTTGCGAAGGGGATCAAGTCTCTGCCGAGGCCGCCGGAGCAGTTGAAGAGGGGGTTGAATAGCTTGCACTTTTGGAAGCATTTTGGGATCATGCCTTCCAAGACTTTAGTCACTGGGTCTTGAATTTGTGGACCGGGTTTCCATCAAGATTGTCGTGCTTTTCTCAGTTTCAATATTCGCGCTCGGAAATGGGTGGAATACATCGACTTTGGTCATTCACGGATGCCATACTTCATGCCCTCTCATTAGCTTTGCTCCCACATAAGCTACCATCATTCTCAATCTTGAAAACTAGGATTTCCTCAAGAAAATTATTACGCATTCTTTTCTAAGTCTTATGCACGAACAATCACTCGTAGCTTATGTAACACATATTCAGCAAACCACTGACCCACCCGGTCAGAACGCATAGCTCTCCGGTAAAAAAATATAAAAAAAACCCCCCCGTCTCTCCGATGGTGAACCCGAGTTTTTGACCGATCACCGAGATGAGAAACCAACCGGACGGGCTCCCCCGGACATGGTCCCAAAACACGACCGCGCAGCCTCGAATCCTAAATCCACCCGTTCCAGCGCTTCCGGAGGAATTTTTGAGGAAGAAGATGGTGCTATTGTGTCAGTATACCACAGCGTAGAGGGGAGGGGGGGTTACGCTGTGCTATGCAGTCTTATCATACTTCGCTACTTCATTCGTTGTGCAGCGAGGTAGAAAGCAAGCGTCCGAAGGCTCATCGCTCATCCGGTAGTGCTCCCGGCGAACTCGCGCTCGACTTTTGAATCACGCGAATTAGATGGGTAGAAGCCCGGGGAGTGCCCCAGCAGAACTCGCTGATGAAGTATCGTATTTTAGATCTTATTCCCCATGCTGTACCACTTGTCTACCGAATATCGTCACTTGCTGTGCCGGTGCCCAGGTGCTCTCATCAAGGCTGCGCGTGTTGATGGAGAAAGGCAAAGGGATGATTAAAGTGTATAGGTATATATATATAAGTATCATGGCTCGCCCGGGGGCCCCTTGGTACACTCTTCTCGAAATTCTTCGTCGTCTCATATGCCGTACATCCATACTCGCGATAGATTAGCCCTGTGTCACGTTCTTTACTTTACTTTACTTTTTTTCATTCTTTTGCTCCTTTCAAAGAAATCTTTAACCTATATAGATATCCTTTTTGATATTGATAATTTCCGGACTGGTCTGGCAACCTTTTCGCCGAAAACATTCTTTTAAGAGTTTTCCTTCTTTCATCTCTTTCTCTCACTCGGCGGATGGCATACATCAATGCTAGGAGGAGGATAGCAAGTATTCAGAACAAGTTGAAGGAGTATGCACAAAAGGAGAAAGTAACCCAGATACAACATGCAGAGAATAAGTTGGCGAGTGTGGGGGAGAACCTAAAGCCGTGGATCTGCCGCGGGAGGAATAGGCATCAGGATAGGGAGTATACGAGCTTGGAGAAGATTGCTTCATTGAGTAAGAACAAACTCCATCAGGGGGTAAATGGGGGGGGGGGGGGGCTGGTGGGTTTTGCTAGAGATTTCCAAACCTATGAGGGTGGAAGTGAACGGTACGAGGGCAGACATAAGTGAGCAAATGCCGAGAGCGATAAGCGTTTAGGATTACCGGCCACGCCCGTTCCCAAACGCCTCGATGGGAGTGTCGGTCCGGCGTTGCCAGCTCTGGCAATGGACCTTCGCGATCCGATGGGCGTGAAGAGACGGACATTGGACTTTATCGAATACAACTCGCCGACGAGCCACTGCATCACGCAGATCATCGACTACTATGGGGATAACATTGACGACGAGTGTATGAGTCGGGAGATAGAGCTCATCAGGGCAGCAGCGAGAAAGTACCCAGAGAATCAAGAGCTCTATGCCTGCTTCCTGAGCCGTGTATCTCGTTGGCGAGAAGGGACAGCCTCGGCCAGAGATGAGAGAGGTTTTAGATAAGGCTTTGGGAAGCCAGTGGGGGAGGAACTAGTTATCTCTCAGTACCGAGATTTCACATTACTCGGCCATAAGCAATGTTATCCAGCCCTCAGCTCCTAACCCCGTTCAATCGAGGGATGGCGAGCAATCAAGGAATCTATTGTGCGCAATGGATGAACTGAAGGAACTAGAGTACAGACTATTGAACATATAGCGGGCCTTGTCAGAGAGAAAAAGGGCCAAGAGAAAGAATGCCGTCTCGTAGCATAGTGCGTTTTTCCCTCCCAGATTCTCCACGCCCATATTCTACCCCGCATACCTACTAGCCAAAGGGCGAGAGTAGCCCAGAGGAAAAGAAGAGGTTTGATGAGAGAGCAAAGACTCACTAGCAGTGTTCTTGTGTAACTGAATAGTCACTGGACAGCTGATAGACGCCTTATCCCCCACAGAGGAGGACCACGATAGACACTCCCTGGTTCTCAAGATCCCCGAGCCGTCGGCACAGATGCCCAAGCGGGCGCTGTCCCGTAAGTCCACGTTTCGACGCAGCAACCTCGGGCCTAGAGGCAGCAGCGGTAGTGCAGGGTCAATGGTGAGCACCCGGTTAAGCAGGTATTCAATCGACTACAGCGACTACATCCCCGACGAATACGGAAGCCCTTCATCAGCAGCCGAGAGTTTCTTCAAGACCGCTGGAGGAGGGGAGAACTCACCGATCCTGCGATCAATCTCCCAGAGGGCGGAAAACCACCTACCGGTACACTACTTGCGCCGTACCCGTTCCTCTGAGACCATCGCGTCATCCGCTATCGCGATTCTGGCACTGACGGATACCATTGGGTCAACACCCGGGAAAAGACTCGGCGGACGGCTGCTGAAGCAAGGAGAGTATTTCCCGCCGGAGAAAGCCACCGCCGTGTCCATTCTCTCCCCGCCACCAGGGACTCCAAGGGCCGCTACCATGCGGAGAGCCAGAAGCGCCGAGTTCCATCGCGGAGCAGCAGGCAGCAGCTTGAGTGTCGCGCCGCTGCCACCATCTCTGAGAGCCGATACGGCGGCATCCGGGGTGAATTGTAAGGAGAGAAAGGATCAAAAGAAGGCCAAGAAGAAGAAGGAAAACAAGCAGCAGACAATGACGACAATTCCTCATACGTGGGGATCGGGTACGCTGCCATGTTGAAGAAAGAGCCAGCTCCTACTGCCCATCATACCCCATCACTAGGCCCAGATTACTCCGGAAAAGAGCTCCCGCCATCGTCAACGGGTGCCAATCCCACACCCGCGCGTCCTCCCCCACCCTCGGAAGCAGTCGAGATCGCTCCATCGTCTAGGCAGCGGCGAGTCCCAGGCTCTGAGGCGCCCGCCAAGATGATATGAGTCTTTCCTCCCATCGCCCCCTAGAAAAAAAAGCCCCCCAGTCTCGTTTACCCCGGATTCCTTCTCCCCTGGGTGGGCGGCATAGTGGGGAACTAACGGCGAGATGCGGGGAGCAGTCCGAGAAATGGTGGAAGGTGTCACGGGTATTTTCCAAAAGGATGTGGGGCCAGAGTTACCGCGCGGTAGCCCTTTCGACACTAAACTAAACCAAACTGTAATATACTTCTCACCCTTCAAATTATTATACCATACACGTTTTTTTTACACCTTCACAGGGATGTAATGCATGATAGCGAGCAGTTTGCGGGGGAGCCGAAGACCAACCGACTACCCACTGGAGAACAGTACAATATGAGCAATTGGCAGTCCGAGCCGCCGTTCACATATAATTCACACAGCAAAAGAGAAATTGGAAAAAAAACCTTGGCTACCGGGAACACCGCACGATTCCACTCCGCCATTCCATGCCCGCTCACACTTTACCGGTATGCAAGTATTTTCGTTTCAACCATCACACTCGGGTACGATACCACAGTTCGGATAGAATGGAATGGATAAGGGCGGGGATATGGCATTGAATCCTGTCACTCCTTGGCCCGCATTTTTATTTCTATTTTTTCACCCCCTCCCAAACTTATCCGTTTCCTTTCCTTTCCGCCTTCCCTAAGTTTGCTTCACCATCATCACTCGTCTTTTTTTCCGAAAAACAAATTCCAGTTTTGCTTTTCTTTTCCCCCTTTGTTTATGATATTGCTTTTTCCTCTCCCGCGACCGGTTGCGTGCATGATCACGTCAGGAGAAGATAAGATTCTCGAAGATCTGTGGAATGTTCGCATCTCTGCACCCGTATGGTGGATGGATGGAGAGCGTGCGCATAAGCGGTAATGCGAGGAGGAGAAGGAGAGAGGAGAAGGATATCAGCGTTTGATACGAGTACGGGTACGGTAAAACGGAGAATATGATTGAGGGAGGAGAGGTTACAGCACGTTTCGGCGTTTGAAAAAGGAACCCTGATGAGCGTCTCCCGGGATATTATTCATTATTCTATTACTACTCAAACTACGCCAGACTATGATTGCTTACTTCACCGCACTTTGTCGTTCCCTCTCTCTACCCCACTCTCTTGCAGATCACCCACCATACAAGCAACCACCTGCCATCCCAAGCCGCAACCGCCGCAACCTCCAGTTTCACAACATGCACTTGTTCACGTTCAATTGTTTATGCCCTTCCTTTCTTCCTTTCTTTTTCCCCTGCTGCCGTAAAACAAGCCCACGCCCGAATCATAAAGCTTTATTTATTTCAACCCCCACCATGTTTATCCATGTTTATGATATGGCAAGTGCAATCAATACGGCGAAAGAAACAACCCCCCCCCAAGACATCCCGCAGAAACATGCCCCCGATACCGCACCTCGTACATTACTGTACCTGCTTCCCTCCCCTCCCCGCCGCCACCAGCGCTTCGAGTAAGCAACCGTCATCACAATATTATGATACCGTTATCGCAAACATCACACAGCATGAAACGTGGAAAAAGCTTTCGAAATAGACGAGTCGGTTAGGTGGATAGATGGATAAATTTAGACGTAGAGATAGAGAGAGAGTATGATACAGTAGATAAGCCCATCCAACCCACTCCGCCAGCCGGGCCGATGAGTGATTTTTTAAAATCGGGCAATCGCAACAAATCCTACCGGCAGATGTATAGATAGATGGATACATTACTCGAGCACGGTACTGCATCATACTCGTACCGTACTATAGTAGTCCCGGTACTGTGGATGTAGCGTTACACCGATATCGCACTGTACCGGTACGACAAAAGGTATGATATGTGTCGTGCAGTTCAGGTTCGGTAAGCTACCGATGTTTACCGTATCATATCATAGTAGATTTATGCACTGTACTCGTACTATACTCGGGCACAGAGCCATCTTGCTGACGATATATTGTGGCCTCCAACTTCCCCCCCCCCCCCACCATTCTACCAAAAATGGCCAATCTTAAACACTCTCCCCCCACTTCACACGAATATAAATATATATTTTCCCAGAATTAAAGAAATGAATACCATAGTGCATTACAGGTATTTCCCTGTTCATGTCGCAATGTACTCGTACAATACTAGCACGGCACCTTTTCGCACGGGAAATTCGTACATGGTTAAAATCAAAAGTATCGCACTGTACTGTACTTTATTGTACTATGTACCTTTCACCTGCTATCGCCACTATCACACAAGTACAAGTATCACCATCGCCTCTACCATTGAACCGTGGACAGCCAACCAACGGATCTCATCGCATACAGCACGGATGAGAATATTCCGGATGGCTCCAAAAAAAAAAAAAACTCTGGTAAAACTCCGATTTGATTTCTTTTTGATCTTTTTTTCTGCAAAGGCGACAAGACAAGGCTGAGCTCCGCGAGCTGAAATTTTGCCCATTTTTGGTTGTAAAAAGGAGGTCGGGGGAGGGGAGATGCACGAATCTTCTCACCAAGATTGTACTAATACTCGTACAGTTACCGTACCCTACCGCATGTCGGTACTGTACTGTAGACTACCAGTAATCCTTACTTGTACTTGTACTTGCACAGTACAGTACCGTGCTCCTATAATACCGGCACGGCTGACGAAGATCAGATCGAAACTGGGCAAATTTCAAAAAAGAGAAGAGAAGAGGAAATTAATTTTTTTTTGAGAATTATGAAAATAGATACGTTACGGTTACAGGGGAATATAAGGAAGGTGGAAAGGAAATTCACGATCCCCTTCATTAATTCCTCCATCATATCTTATTTTTATTATTATTAAATTTACTCTGTTCCTGATTTACGTATGATGCCGCTTCTTCTTCTTCTTCCCCCCCCCCCAGCGAGCTGGATGAAGGTATCGGTGCGGAAACAGGAAACTTATTATTATATCCCGCAAGTTCGTGTCGAACGCATTCCATAATACGGTAGGGACCTACCGTACGCAGACCCGCACAAATGGCAATGCTACAAATGAGAGATAAGATCTCTGCATTCACAGGGTTGGATCTACATGTACTGTACTGTACTGTGCTGTGCTCGTACAGTAGGAGGAATTGTGGTGCTGCGGATTGATCGGTCGATCCATGCGCTCTTGCCGTACAGTACCGGGACTATACGAGTATCGTACTCGAGTACTGTACAAGCACCGCAGCCCGGCAGCCCGGCCCCCCTTATCCATTCCTCAATATCCCCTCTCTTGTCAATCTGCCGTGCTCCAGAATGCATCCTTCTCTCTTCCCCCCCCTGGTTTCCCAAGCGTTTACATACGGGATACAGTGCAGTATTGTATCATACCTTTGATAGCCAAGTTTCCCTACCTATTGTGCCAAACGCACGTTAGCCGTACCGTACAGTGGCGCCCAGCCAGACAAGCTTTCTCAAATATCGGCAGCAGAAACTGATAGCGCAGCCACCATCATAATTACTCGATTAGCACCTGTATGCATTCGGGTAGGGGTGTAGTGGGCATTGTCCCTCTGACGGCTGTGGCGGCGGAGGTCCATCGTCTGTCCGTACTACCGGTACCGTATTGCAAGACTCTACCCTCCACGACGTTCTCCAGCGAAAGAAAAATAAAAACCCCCACTTTTTTCTTTCCCCTTTCTCGCGCGTTCGATTTTCCTAACGCTCGAATCGCTTTCACTAGAAGGCATAATATCATACAAAAGAAATATGCTGCAAATAGCGGCTGCCTTGCCAACACGGACACACTGCCGGTAGGAGGCCCCGCAAGTAGGTTGAACTATGATATAAGCTACTACCCTATCTTAACCGAAAGAAAGAAAAAGCGCAATGCCGAAATATCCCTAATGGCGCCAAAAACGCCGCAAGAGCATGAACAGCGCCATTTTTATGGTCCGTGCAAAATAGGGTTCTATCATAAGCCAGTCTTTTTCTCGAGATCTGGATTCGGCTGAAGCGACCACTCGGAAGGCGGATCCAGAAGGTTAAATTCTAGTGCGAAGCCGCGATCCTTGGTCTGTGAGCTCGTGATAATCTACTCGAGTATGATACTGGTTGGATGTGGGTTGATTGAATTATAAACGTGACGAGCTGATGTGTGCAATCCAGTACCGGTACTCGAGTGTAGTGATGTGTGTGATGGAGGGGGCGCTGTTGATAGGAGGGTGGTACAGTACATAACAAACCCTGAGAATAGTACATACCAGTAGAGTATCATGCTCTACCAGGATGCATTCTCCAGGCACTGTTGTACAGTACGGCCCTCGTACAGTGCTTACTTCTCCTTACTCGAGGCATGAGTAACAGCACAATGTCGTGGGAGTCCAGCCTCTGGGAAACCCCCCTAATCATGTCATCCTGGGTATCATGTGCACTCGCCGCCTGCCTACCGGTATTGTATGATACTTGCAAAGTACGAGCACCGTACTCGCGCCGCTGAGTCCAAGTCGAGTGCTTTTGCTGCCTCAGTCATCCGTCAGCCAACCGGAGAGCAAGGATATCGAGCACTATACATACCCCTTCACGCGATTGGCCTACGGCACCTGTGCTAATCAATTTCTGTGCCTGGGTGCTCTCCTTCAACTCGGCCGCACGAGGACAGACAGTACTTACCCCCATCATCATGCCCAGCGGCTTCACTAGCGCCCGCCCCGTCAGTACCAACCACAACCATTCACAACCCTCCACCTGGCAGAATTGATCTTGGAAAGCACCGCAATTTCCAAAAGACCGGAACGAGTTACTGGCTAGCTATTACCGGAACACCCACTTCGCCTCTACAAAGCAGTAAGGACCCGTCTTCCGGGGAAGATAGGCAAGAAGGGAGGAAAGGGAGAAAGAAAGGGGGTGGGGAAACCAAGGTGATAGATAAATCAAACAAGTAGCTTGTGGAAGGACCCAGACGGCACTGCAGTGTACTGTACAGTACTCGAGTACCAGTACCAGTACTTAGGGTGTGCGCAAAAGTCTGTCGAACTCCACTCTCATAGGCTAAGCTTACTATGGATATGCAAGTTGGCTGCATAGGTGATTGGTAGGTAAGCGTGCAGTTTGGTGAGGGAAAAAAGTCTGTCGAACTCTTGGCATAATACGATCACAGGAAGTATAGTCTATATATAATAATATGAAGTATATGAAAAAACCCTCCCCCTCCCCCCCAAAAAAAACCCTTAATACGGCGTAGCATTTCCACCGACCGCAATCACAGCTTCAAGCCGCTGTTGCATACTCCCAATAAGCTTCAATAGCCTTTCTGATCCAATGTTCTCCCATGCTAATCGTAGCATTGTGATTAACGTATCTTCATCGGGCGCTCGCTCATATATTTGTCCCAATTCTGTTTCCATGTCCGACCACAATGCCTCGATGAGATTTAGATCAGGGGATTGAGGTGGCCATGGAATATTATCTATCCCATTCTGTATCCGGCAGCTTTTAGCATAACCCTGATGTCCCGGTGCATTATCTTCTACCACCTTTACCCAACCATATTCCTCACAGGCCTCATGCCAGAAAGGAATTAAGTAAGGTATCATGACATTATCACGATACCTTTTAGAGTTTATAGTCGTTCCGGGGGGCACAATATAAAGTGGTGACTTTAGTTCTCCACAAAAAGCACCCCAGACCATAATGCTTTTTCTTCCAGACTCCCATACTTCGTCGATGCAGTCTGGATGGTACTCCTCATCTGCACGCCGTGTGACCCATGGGCGATGAGAGAAGCCAGCAGTACTGAAATTGCACTCATCAGTCCAAAGAGTCCGCTTCCACTCCTCTTCTGTCCAGTTTAATCGCTCCTGGCACCACCGGACACGCTTGGGTTTATTTTGACTCCGGATACCCCATCTGTATTAGATATAAAGAATTAGTAATTAAAACTTGTATAATAGAAGAATAAAAATACAATAGAATTGAGGTTTACTCTACTTCTTACGTGGAAGACGCTTGTGATATCCCAGAGATCCCATAACATCCCGCAGGGTTCGAACAGAACAGTTGTATCCCATTTCTAGGATAACCTCCTCCCATTGCAAGCGGCGAGTTCTCTTATCTTGCGTGATAAAGGCACAGAGCCTTTGTCTCTCCGCTTCATCAAATATCATAGGGCGGCCACAACGAGGTCGGTTTGAAGGTGAGCCACCGTTAAGCATTGCACGCTGATATATTTTCTGACAGGTACGGAAATCTAGGTTTACTTTCAAACCAATATCCTATTACACATTAGTGATCCAAATATTATGAGCCATCTTGTTTGCACCCACCTTCCAAGTCATGTTCACCTTTTGCCGCAAAGTGATGATTTGGATACGCTCATCGCGCGTAGTTTCACGGCCCTTTACACTTTTTCCTTCACCGACGTAGTCTCTCCGACAGCCTTTCGACTTCATTGTATCCACTGGGCTCGATGTATAATGAAAAGAAACAAAGCAGAGAAAAGCGGGTAAAAAAATGCATATAAGGTTATCATTGTATGACTTGAAATCCAGGTGATTGTGAGAAGGAAGCCGGAGATTCACACTTACAATTGATGATCGTGATGTGCTTACTAAAACATACAGGTGGCAACAGCTTATTCGTTATTGGATAGACAATTGATGGCCAATCCGAGACAGTTCGACAGACTTACCCACAACCCCCGGTACAGTACGGCACAGCAGTGTTTCCTCGCCTCCCCCACAGTCTCTATCCCTGCCAGAGTGGACTGTCTACCGTGCCGTACGAGTGCCTGCACTATTTCCCCACCCACCTGCCCTTGCAGCCACTCACCTCCTTCCCTTCAAGAGGGAAGGAGGAAGGGAAGGGGGGAGCCTCAGGGAGGCAAGTATCATAAGCAAAAACCGTTTCGACAAGTGCAATGGTTTACCGCGCCGGACAATTCTTTCTCACATGAGATCCTCCGCTAATAGTATGATACGGCATTACCGAACGGTATGCAACTCTCGGGTGTTCGGAAAAGGGTTGAT